ATATTCTTTGGCTTGTATATTCTGTGAGGAATGTGGTATAGCGTGTACTTCCGTATAGTGTGGAGTACGATGTATATTTTTGTAGCATATTAAGGTCCTGTAAATTTGTAGATATTAGTTTGCCAATAGGTCTTCGGGACTGACAACTTAAATAATTCCCTTGGGGAATCTACGGTCCCGTTCTGCGTAAAGCGTGTATAGTCTGTATAGGAACCGTTGTTCCATTTCTTTCTCTTGTGTATTTTGTTCAGGAACCGTTGTTCCATCTCTTTTTCTTATTGTGTTGAATAAATCGGGCCAGATTGTGGTTCCGTATTTAATTTTGAAAACTTTATTGGTTATTCGTTGTAGTTTTTGAGAGTGAACCTCCCTAATTTTCAGATTTGATTATTCTCTCCCAGACCCAGGACCCCACCGCATAAGAGCTGGCCAGGGTGTCCTTAGGAGACAGCGGTGTAACTCTGGTTATACCTGGCGCCCAATAATTTAGTATCTCATTAATTATTTCTCGCGGTGCCATTTATTTGTGCGATTCGTCGTCACAATACATAAGTAGTGGATTCTCTGTATAATCGGGTACCCGGAGCTCTGATACGCGATAACTATTGAGAGAGTGATATTACAGAGAATTCCCAGTCTACTGTAATATACGGAGTGTCCGATAGAGCGGAAGCAACAAGTGCGCCGAGAGGCATAGCAACGAGTCCTCTGTTCTCGGCGTGATAGCTTAGAAAGAGAGCTCAGGGGAAACGCGATTATATAGAGTCGTTTGTATAGCCAGAGTCGACTGCATACACAATAGTACATTGGGTACCAAGGGGGCAAAATGGCACTTTTAAAGTCAAATGCGGTATTTTCAGTACGAGTCGTAGACGAGTATTGAAAACATCGTACACGGTCTTGAAAGGCCTACCCCCGAGGTGCACGCGGTACTTTATATAACACACCAGGTTTTCCGAGCTTCTGTATTAGGAAGCTATTATGTACGTGAAAACTATGTCGTAGGCGAAAAGTGTTTGCTACTGGAGCGCGGGTGCAACCCCCGGCAGGGTCGAAGGGCAAAGCCCCTTGTGGGGGTGTTTAATATAAATTACGAGATTCTAATTCTTTATTTATTTATATCCCTTTTTAACGAACAATACTATATCGACGCTTTTATTTGGATCTCATGCAATTTCACTTGTAAGTGAAGTTTACAATTCTTCTCGTCAATAACGAGAAAACAAAAAGCAACTTTCACCTTTAAGCCCTAGAAGTCTGAGGAGGGATTAAAAGTATACTTTATTTTAAAATAATTAAAATTTTATTATAATAGTATATTGTGCACCGAGAGCGAAAACGGGCGTTTCTGCGCCGCGTATAAAGTTGAGGTTCCCGAGGCGAAGCCGAGGGGTTCTTGATGAGTTCAGAGTGTGCGGGAATGCTATGATTTCCGCACACTCTGAACTCATCAAGAATCGGCCATTTCGTGCTTCTTTTTGGTGCATATCCTGCGAACTTTCCGTACATTGTTGCAAAAAATAGTATATGATACGCGTGCGGGTTGATGATTCCTACTCGTATGACGTTTGCCACCCTCGCTTCGCTCGAATCGATTCGAATCATTTGCTGATATGATTGCTCGTTCGCTCGGGCGGCAAACGTCACACTCGTCAGGAATCACTAACTTCCCGCACTTGTATCATAATGTACTATTTTGCAACACTGTACCGGAAGTTCGCAGTTTATGCACCAAAAAATAAGCACAAAATGGCCGATTCTTGATGAGTTCAGAGTGTGCACGAAATTTCGTGCGGAAATGTTATGTTATGAATGTTATGTTATGTTATGTTATGTTATGAATCTCACACACTCTGAACTCATCAAGAATCGGCAATTTCGTGCTTCTTTTTGGTGCATATCCTGCGAACTTTCCGTATATTGTTGCAAAAAAAAGTATATGATACGCGTGCCGGTTGGTGATTCCTACTGATGTGACATTTGCCGCCCAGCGAAGCGAGGGTGGAATCATCAACTTTCCGCACTTGTATCATAATGTACTATTCGATTGTGAATCTCGTTAACGTGTCCCGTAGAGGACCTAGTACCGCGTGATTTTCTATTTTGCGTTTAATTTGTTTCACGTGTCCCGAAGAGGACCTTGTCTCGCGTGTTATTCATCTTGTTTCTCGAAATTGTTAAATTGTTAATTTGAAATAATTTGAAGTCCCAGAATAAAAGGGCCATTTTCTTATGTTTTCTGTTACTGAATTTCATGGGTTCTCAATCTGAATTTCTAATCACTATCTTTTTCTCTATCTCTCCTTTACTTAACATCAGCGTTGCCCCTCTACCATACCTCTGCGTTCCGTTCCTGCTAGTCGGACCTCTTTTCATATTTTCCTTTAGGTATCATGACGCAACGATGCGTCTGGCGCCCATCTGGCATTTCACTAACAAGGAAACATTCCCAAGTGGCCCATCCCGATTTTGATCATTTTTGTATATGTTGTAGAACTCGAAAATCTAAGGGATACGTATTTTCTTTTCATTGGCGGAGATTGATATTTAGCGGGTGAAACTGCCCCTCAAAGTTTGGCAAAAAATCAATCAATTTTTTTTTTCATAGAAGCACTCGACCGTTTTTAATGAAACTAGGTATGAATTGTGACGACACTTTTTAACGGTGACGCACAAATAAATAGCACCGCGAGAAATATTTAATGAAATACTAAATTATTGGGCGCCAGGTATAACCAGAGTTACACCGCTGTCTCCTAAGGACACCCTGGCCAGCTCTTATGCGGTGGGGTCCTGGGTCTGGGAGACAATAATCAAAATCTGAAAATTAGGGAGGTTCACTCTAAAAATTACTGAAAACGACAAACTATCGGAACCAAAATTCGGGGACGGATCCGATTTATTTTAAATAGAAAATATAAGAACAAGATGGTGAAATACAAATGATAATTACAGAAAACTGATCGAGATGATGCATAACACACTGGGATATTTACCCGAACGATATTATACAATAATGTTCCCGCTGGAACAACGCAACATATGATACGACATAACAAACGATACGGTAACGATAATAAGCGGTACGATATTGACTCACGCACCTATGTGTTAGGGAGACGATTCCGCGAGACGTGGACTGAACGGTTAGACACAAAACCGAAAAAATTGAATTAATGAAATGAGAGACCGATCTCCTGTTTGTCACCGGATTAGCTAACCTTGGACCCTTAGCGGTCAGGAAAGCGCAGGATGACGCGTAAGAGTACGTCGAACAGAAAAGATCGGTTGATCCCGTGAATTAAAACAAATAGCCAGAATACCCCTGAGCGTCACTCACCGTTGTCCAGTAGCTCCTACTATTGCCAGGAACACACTCTCCTGGATTATAGTACCTCAAACGGATCACGATACGATACAATAAATACAAAAATCGGTAGAAAACGACAGCACGTCTATCCCTAAGTTTGGCCACGCCGTGAGTGACGCTACAAATTTCCAAAATCGGGAACCTTCCTGAGAGCGCGCTGTAATACCACCCCCTGGTCCAATCAGGTTCACTGTTACATCGGCTCCGCTAGCCAGCTCGCGATCTTCAATTGTTTTAACGATCCCGGTAAAATAGATCCTGGCATCTTGCTACGATAGGATGGTTGCAGTGCCGTTTCCGGAAGGCGGGGATCACATCCACCTCTACTCCCTCGATATTCGGCGTCACGCCACTTCTGCAACTCCTGTATGCCCTTTGCTTCTGAAGAGGCTCACCGCTTGCTTCGCGTAGTTGATATTCG